TTTTGGAAGGCATCTCGAGGGACAAAATGCGGCTCTACTTTGATGGCCGGGTGCTTTGCCCCTGCTCCACACTGGGCTACTACGGCGTCGAGAATGAATCCGCCTTGGATCTCTTCCCCCGTCAATAAACTAGATTCGTATCATGCAGATCTTGTTAAGATAAACCTATAGTTTTAGCAATGCAAGTCTAAACATTATTAGAATATATATATCAGAATTAAATGGTTGTTTAATTGTCATGGCATAAGAAATTATAAATGTTTAAACATTATTAGAATATACTATAAGACTAGGCATGCTTACTTGTGTTGGGACTGCGCGTGCCCTCACCCCAACCCCGCATTAGTATGATATTGTCCGCTTTTGGCCAAGCCCTCACGGATTTGTTTTTGGGCACCTCCCAAAAGGCCTCATACTAATGGAGTTGGGTGAACCTATATATTTTGGTCCATTTTTACTTCTCCATCCGGTGTGGGACTTGGAGGAACCCCAACAAACCTCCCCTCATCCAAGGACCACACAACTCCTGACCTCCCCTCCAGCGGTAATCCCTTTTTTTCTCTTTTATCTGCTAACCATCTTGCACCGCCGCACACTCTTTGCGCGACACGCCGCCCGACCTCCCTGTCGGAAAGACTTTCGACGCAAGGCTCGAACTGCAGATCTTTTCCTTCGCTGGGCTACACCATTTGATCCGCCAAATCATCTTGTACCGCTGTGGCTATAACTTCACGGGACGCGCCGCCCGACCTCCTTTCGTCGGGAAGACTTTCGACACAAGGCACCACTTGCAGATCCTCTTTCTTGGTCTTGGTCCTAGTTACACCGTCACACCGCATTAGTATGATATTGTCCGCTCTGGGCCAAGCCCTCACGGATTTGTTTTTGGGCACCTCCCAAAAGGCCTCATACTAATGGGGTTGGGTGAACCTATATATTTTGTTAGAATATATATATATCAGAATTAAATGGTTGTTTAATTGTCATGGCATAAGAAATTATGAATGTTTAAACATTATTAGAATATACTATAAGACTAGGCATGCTTACTTGTGTTGGGACTGCGCGTGCCCTCACCCCAACCCCGCATTAGTATGATATTGTCCGCTCTGGGCCAAGCCCTCACGGATTTGTTTTTCGGCACCTCCCAAAAGGCCTCATACTAATGGGGTTGGGTGAACCTATATATTTTGGTCCATTTTTACTTCTCCATCCGGTGTGGGACTTGGAGGAACCCCAACAAACCTCCCCTCATCCAAGGCCCACACAACTTCTGACCTCCCCTCCAGCGGTAATCCCTTTTTTTCTCTTTTATCTGTTAACCATCTTGCACCGCCGCACACTCTTTGCGTGACACGCCGCCCGACCTCCCTGTCGGAAAGACTTTCGACGCAAGGCTCGAACTGCAGATCTTTTCCTTCGCTGGGCTACCACATGTTGTGACTGCGCGTGCCCTCACCCTAACCCCGCATTAGTATGAGGTCTTTTGGAAGGTGCCCAAAAACAAATCCGTGAGGGCTTGGCCCAAAGCGGATAATATCATCCTCTTTCTTGGTCTTGGTCCTAGTTACACCGTCACACCGAGATTTTTCTACACTGCACAGTCAGCTACTCCCGCCCGCAAGAACCTGGGCTCTGATACCACACGTTGTGACTGCGCGTGCCCTCACCCCAACCCCGTTTTAGTATGATATTATCCGCTTTGGGCCAAGCCCTCACGGATTTGTTTTTGGGCACCTTCCAAAAAACAAATCCGTGAGGGCTTGGCCCAAAGCGGATAATATCATCCTCTTTCTTGGTCTTGGGCCTAGTTACATTGTCACACCGATATTTTTCCACACTGCACAGTCAGCTACTCCCGCCCGCAAGAACCTGGGCTCTGAACCACACGTTGTGACTGCGCGTGCCCTCACCCCAACCCCGCATTAGTATGATATTATCCGCTTTTAGCCAAGCTCTCACGGATTTGTTTTTAAGCACCTTCCAAAAAACCTCATACTAATGGGGTTGGGTGAACCTATATATTTTGGTCCATTTTTACTTTTCCATTCGGTGTGGGACTTGAGGAATCCCAAGAACTTGCTCATTTACTCTCTTGTGCAGGATAGAAACACATCATTGACAAGAGAGGCGGAGGAAAGGGGGCTTGATCGTGCCATCGTGGTCTCGGGTGTTTCCCCTCTTTTTTTTTTCCCCTTTTTTTAAAATGTTTTTATTAATTTTCTTTTTTTGTTTTTGTAGTGCACACATGCTTTATATCTTAATTATCATACCTCATTTGGCTCATTACCCCCATAACCCCTCATGTTTCCATTATTATACACATAGTTTTAAGCTCTTCTAATTTTTAAAAATTAAATTACCCATTTAAAATTACTTTTTTTTGTAAATGATCTCTAAGTAATTTTTACCGAGGGTGATGTCTCCAAAAAAAAAAATTGTAAGAGGGAGAAGAGAGAGAGAATTATTAAGACTAGACAAAAAATAAAGAAATCTTTCTGGATAGAAGTAAAAAAGTATGAAAATTTTTGTTTGTTTACTCGTTTTTGGTGTACAGATAAAATGATATTGGACGGGAGTATATCGTAAGACTCGTCACAGACAAATAATACTCTCTCAGTCAAAAAACGAATCGGTTCAAAGGTCTTTTATTTAAAAATACTTACAACGTATGCTGAAATAGAGCAACGGGTTCTATGGTGTAGTGGTTAGCACTCTGGACTTTGAATCCAGCGACCTGGGTTCGACTCCCGGTAGGACCTCTTCTTTTATAAGTCACAAATCCAGAATTTTTTACCAATTATTTTTTAAAAAATATGTAATGATTTAATTATTTTATTTTATCAACCCATTAATGAAAAGTGTAAAGAAAAAAAGGAATAGTTTGGTCATATAAATAAAAAGACTTAGATATTACCTAACATTTCCACCCACACAACACAAATTAATCTATATTTTCACCAAAAAATTACTGCTGGGTATTTCCAATTTTGTAATAAGAACTCCCAGGTTCCATTGTTTTTCAAAATATACTCCGAGGTACCTTAAGATATTCGAAAATTGACTCCGGGGTGACAATCCGTCACTCTCTCCGTTAACATCCTTTCTTCCGTTATCTCCTCCTCCTCCTCCTTCTTCTTCTTCTTTTTCTTCTTCTTTTCTTCTTTTCTTCTTCTTTTTCCTTCGCCTTCCAGTCCATTCCTCCCCCACCCCTGTTTTTTTTCTTCTTTTACTTTTTGTTTTGTTTTTTCTTCTTCTTCTATTATAATTATTATTATTTGTTATTAATTATTACTCATATTAATTATTATTTTCTTATTCTATTATTATTATTAATTTTTTAATTTGTTATTATTACTATTATTATTAAAAATTAATTGTTAGTTTTACCACTCTTTTCTATAAAAACACTAATTGTTATTTAGAAAAATAGAACTTATTAAAAAACACTTATTATTAATATTGTTATTTATTTTAAACAATTAATTAGTGATTTTACTTCTGTACTTTTTTTATAAAAATACCACTAGTTATTATTATTACTTCATATTTTATCCATCTTATTCTTTTCTCAAGTCCTTTTGTTTTCTCGATTTACCGTGACACCACTACCAATGGCGACTACAAATGACTAATGCGTGGCTGATGCGAAAGACATCGGATGCCAAAAAATAAGAGCAGTAAAACTACTAAAAATTTTTTTACAATGATAATAATAAGTTTTATTTTAAATAATTAATACTCCCTCCGTCCCACTGTCTTTGTCCACTTACCTTTTGGCACACCATCCAATGCGCTTCTTTAATCCATTTTATCTTGTAATTTGTATATTAAAAAATTATAAAAATTATATATTAATAATCTATATGTTAGGACGAATCAAAGTAATATTTTGAAAACATATATTGTATATTAATTCGATAAAGTAATATTTTGAAAATATTTTATATATTAAATCTAATAAAACTATTTTTTGTATCAATATCTAATATTATTATTTTTTAATTTAGGGTTAAATTTTATCAATTTTTACCAAAAAAATCAAAAGTAGATAAATATTCTAGAACAAAGGAGTAATTAATATGAAGTAATAATAATAACTAGTGGTATTTTTATAAAAAGTATATAATTAAAATCACTAATTAATTTTTTAAAATAAATAACAGTATTAATAATAAGTGTTTTTATATTAAGTGTTATTTTTCTAAATAACAATTAGTGTTTTTATAGAAAATAGTGGTAAAACTAACAATTAATTTTTAATAATAGTAGTAATAATAATAGATTAAAAAATTAATAATAATAATAATAATAATAATAAAATAAGAAAATTATAATTAATATGAAGCAATTATAATAATTAATAAGAAATAATAATAATTATAATAGAAGAAGAAGAAAAAAACAAAACAAAAAGTAAAAGAAGAAAAAAACGGGGGTGGGGGGAGGAATGGACTGGAAGGCGAAGGAGAAAGAAGAAGAAAAGAAGAAAAGAAGAAGAAGAAAGAAGAAGAAGAAGAAGAAGAAGAATTCGAAGAAGAAGAAGAAGAAGAATTCGAAGAAGAAGAAGAAGAAGAAGGAGAAGGAGAAGATAACGGATAAGGGAGGTTAACGGAGAGAGTGACGGATTGTCACCCCGTAGTCAATTTTCGAATATCTTAAGGTATCTCGGAGTATATTTTGAAAAATAATGGGACCTGGCAGTTCTTATTACAAAATTGGGGGTACCCAGCAGCAGTTTTTTATATTTTCACACCCATTATCAACCAAACCGAAAGGAGTATTTTATTAAGTACTCCGTATATACTACGCATCATTTTTTATTATAGTTTATTTGTTTATTCTATAAGAAATTTCATAGATATTAAAGTAATTATTTATTTTGAAGTTTATAAATTAATTACGGAGTATTTTAAATATAAAAATAAAAAAGTTACATACATATTAATAAAACACACGATGTACTTAATAAAATTGACAAACTAAGTCAGACAGTAACATGAAAAATAAAAGCAATGATCCATGATAGAAAATACAGAATCTAAAGAGATTAGATATGGAGAATGTGAAGTGGATGCGTAAGTATATGAATATAACTATCTCTATCCTAGAGTATTTATCTGTTTACATTTTGGCACAAGAACAAATAAATAAAGATAAAAGACTACAATAAATTAAACTATTCCTTCTATATGGCTGGACATTTATAAAGTAATGTTGAAACATAGAGAAATGGGTCAATTGGACAGTGTGTATCATTTGTAA